TAATTAGTTTGTCTTCTAATTGTGTTATATTTGGTTTTATTCTTTTTACTATTTTATGCATGTGTGTGTGTGTGTGTGTGTGTGTGTGTGTGTATTTTATTGTGAAAAGGTAAAATTTGCTCTGAATGTCAAGGCACTTCCAGCTACTGCAGGAGAAAGTAGCTGAAGGGATAGCAAGTAAAATATAGTCTCTATTCTCCTCAGTTTAAAAAAAAAAAAAAAAGCCAGAAAGAAAGAAAAGGAACCCTCCGGGGCATTTGCATACTAGTCAGACTTCGGTGCTCTGCAGTGGGTGGTTCTGGCTGAGAGGCGGCTCTATTCTTAGATGTCTGAGTTGAGGCAGAGTAGGATGGAAATGGTTCACTGTTGCTACAGGACCTTCCAGTCTGTTCTTTTAATGGCGCTCACCTGTCAAATCAAATTTCCCCATCCTGCTTAATCAGCCATGTCATCCCGTTCTTTTCATGGCAAATCTCAAAACGAGGCTGCCTCTGTCAGTAATGTACTCTTTCCCTTCCATTAAGAGGATTGCTTTCTTTATAGGGGTGGAGTTTCTTTTTTCATTTTTCTTCCCTGTTCTTTCTGTTAACATAAGTGTATTTTACAAGTGAATAGATTTTCCTTAAGGTAAAAATGATGCTTTCTTCCTTTGAGGAACAACATCTTGAGCCTAACTTTCTGGCTGTGTGGTTCTTAAATACAATTCAATTGACATTAAGGATTAATTCGTTCAAGTACAGGGCAAGAATCTTTGGTCCATATTCCAACATATTTTCTACTTGAATGAATTCATTGCTTAAAAAGCCAAGAGATAGTGAGGTTTTCAATAAAGCCTTTCTTTCTAGAGACTGGAACTCAGCCTTTAAGACAATTTTTAACAATTTATCAGAGTATTTACATAAGTTTTAAAAAATGGATTTCTTTTTGGGCTTTAGAATGCTTTTCTACGCCCACAATATCAGGGGAGCCTGTAGCCTAATAGGTTTATGTTTCTGTTATCCAAAATTCTGCTTCAGAATTAGGGAAATATATGTAAAATCATATTCAAGATGAGAATTCTCCCAAACAGCATTTTTATTAAGAGCCCTTTTGCTCTTCTTACTCTCTTGAATGCTGGCATATATAAGCAAAAACATATCTAAAGAAAGCAAATATGAATGCTTTCTAAATGATCTTAAAATGATACATAAGGCTCCATCATTTTGTCATTTGACCATTTAATACATTGACCTGAGGGATTAAGTCAAAAGAAATGGATATACTATCAAAGACCAATTAATTTATAAATGAGTGATATTAAAGGTGAATTTTCCTGGACTTAGAGGGAAATTCAGGGGAAGCATAAAAGCAGCTTCAAAGAAAACAAGTATGACATTTGGACCTTAGGAAAATATGAAGACCAAGTAGAGATGAGGCAGATAGGATATTGCTATTTTTGTTTGTTTGTTTCAATGTGTACAGTCACACTAAGTATTCTTTTAATATGGCTTTTTTTCAAAAAGATGATTCCTTTAGGAACTTACTTAAATATGTATGTGACTGGGAGCCCACAGCTGCAGAAGGAAAATTGATCTCAATAAAATGAAGACTGAGAAAAACTTGGAGAAATATACTAAACCAATGAATGGTTCCTGGACTTCAAGATTTCATGTATTAACAAAATTTCCATCATTAACAAGGCATGAAGCCTTTGGGCTCATGATAAGTAATAGCTTTTTTAAAAAAGATCGAAGAATACACCTTCTTGAAAGGTTCACTTTTCCATTAGCTGAGAGGATTAAAAATATTGACACCCTGGCCAAATAGCAGTCCCTGGCCAAAATGTTTAACACATTAACTACACAGGAGACCAAAAACTGTGTCAGTTATAAATCATGCGAATTTTGCCTTCTTTTCTAAGGATGCATATAAAAGTTTATCTGATTAATCCCCAACTGTTAGGGGTACAGCTGTCTGGTATAGTCCTAAAATTACCTTCCAACCATCCAGTTTTCATAAGTGAGCCAATCATCTTAAAAAAAGATAAAACATGACTACATTGTTACTCTTGAAAAGCTAAATAAAAATCGAAAGAACAGAGATTAACCTCAAAAACCCTAAGAGCTGGATAATGCCAAAATGACCAATGTTCTAAGTAGACTTTTCCCTATAAATGAAATAACTAAAATTTGCTGTATGTCACAGCCTTCTATCTGTGAAGGGACAACAAAAGATGGGTATCCCGAAACCCAGCTCTGACAATGGGCGTTGGTATCTTGCATGAGTATTTCTATGAAGATCCTATTTCAGTGTACATGGTGTTTCATTTAATGAAAATTGAGGTTTCAGGGTGCTTTTATAACAACAAACTTTGTGTAGCTGCTGGTACCTAAAGTCACCCAATGTAAGCAGCTGAAGAATGTTTAGATCCTGTCAGCACCAGAGGGCTAACAATGAATTCCATATCGTATACTGGACCTGGGTCTTGGCCCCACTGAAAATAAGGAGACACCCTAAAAATGGCAAATGCATTTCTGGATCATGGCCATGTGTGACCTCTGCCTTTGTGGCCAGGGACAGGCTGTAGATGGTCTTCTCTTAGGGCTAAGGTCAGGTAGGCCTTCTCTGGGATGTCTGGTACACAGCAAGTCTCAAAGATGTGGGTCCATCCCCATCACAGAGGCAGTATCAGCTACTAGATAGGACCTTCAAGGCGGAGGCACAAAGCTGGTAACCTTGGACAAGTTCATTGTGATTTGTGTTAGTTTCCTCCTTGCAGTGTTTGACCCTGGAACCCTTCTATCTTCATAGAGGACAGGTCAGATACATGTGAATTAAAGAGCCCAGTACCTGGTGAGTCCTCAAATAGTGCTGACCTGCCTGTCAAGCAGAATCCGTGTATTGCCCTCCCTTCGTTTTAGATCGTTCACAAGGAGGAAACAATCTAGGTTAATCTAAAATTAACATTGCCCAACACTGTTCCCTTCCTGTCTGAGCCAATCACTCCCATACATACAGCCTTTTCTGCTGAAAATATCTACATTTAGGATTGTAGTATTTCAAACTGTATCTTCACTTTTTCTTAGCTATGGTAAAATTAGATGTCATGAACCATCGTTAAAATTCTGATTTATATATTTTGGTGATCACATTTATGATACTCTAATAATCTGAATACAGTTCTAATAGTCAGAAAAAAACATTAACAGCTCAGGCCTTAATTCTCTTATACCCTATCCAACACAAACTGCAAATAAATTGAGAAAAATGCCTTAGTTTCATTTATTCCTAAACAATGATTTTATAATAAATGCTAATACAGGAGGCTGATTGGGTTGCTCTAGTCACCAAAAGTTTAGTGAAATTTTTAAAGGGGATGAAAATATAGTGAATATGTAACGTTACTTCCCTAAGCACATTTATCTGCAAGAAATGCATGGTGTTTAATTTAGTAACCATATAAATTGTCTTCTGTGGTTCACTGCATGTTACCTCTCCACTACCACCAACCCACACCCCCAAACTATTTTTTGTATGCTAGAACACACTGGTAATATTCTGGACATTCCTTGGCTGTTTTTCTTACCTAAAACACTTGCTGGTGGTTAGTGTGTTTACATATTTCGTGTACACTGTGCTTTCAAGCATTAAGAATTCAAATTTATTTCACTATAGAAACAAGAACCAAAAGTGCCAAAACGTGATCATACATATGAATTGAATCCAACAGGGGTAACATTTGCCTAATATTCAGTTTCACCACTTCTCCTTGCCCAGTATTACTCACTGGTAACATCTTAGGTGTGGTACAGACTGCAGACCACTCAGAACGTAATTGCAGAGGGCTTTCCCCCATTTTACTTAACCATGTGTAGTGTAACTCCTAAGAACAGAATCAGGTTCGTTGGCATTCACTGTATTGCTAATGTCCCTTTGGGAATTCATTCCAGTATACAAGCCCTTCACAAAGTCTATAGAAAATGTCCTAGAGTATGAAATCGTATTTATCACTCTGGGTGATTACCACCCAATCCCACTCCCTCCAAAAGCCTGCCATTTAACTGATTGAATCATGAGAAATCTTTGTAGTGGCTAGGGTTAAGTTCACTTTTAAGTATTTTATATTTGAGATTTGGTTCCTAATATCGAATTGGAAAAGACCCAAATGACTACCAAGAGTTCTAAGAGACAATTCCTTATTTTCTTATATTGAATAATTGATGTGCATGCCTGGCAACTCCACAAAAGTCACAGATTACATAATTCTCCACCATCTTCCCACCCTCCACAGAATATATGGAACCTGAGCAAGCTTTGGGGAAGAAATCCGGGGGTTGAGGTAACATCATATCTGTTGGCCATACCTCTCCATCCTATGAAACTACCACCAGGCATAGGCATGAGCCACTGAATAGTTCAGAAGTGAAGGGGTCTTCCCCTCAGAGATCACAAAGCCTTTGCCCTCTTACAGGGAGAGACGCCTGGAGGTTAGAAGTGACTAAAAAGCCATGCAAGTCATTAATGGCAAAACCAGGACAGGAGTCCAGTCACTCTAAGTCCAGTTCTGTATTTGCTTTCACACTGCTGCTACTGATTGCCTGCTCAACACGTGGGGCACCTTTCCAGGCTCTATCATGAACATGAGAAAGTGATAAAAATAACATAGTCACCAATGGTTTCACAACTTACATGCACATGTTCCTTTAACTCTTTTCTTCCCAGCCTTTAAGATCCAACTCTACTTCTTGTCCTTTTCTGTGATTCATGAAAAATATGTTTTTTTAAATTAATCACACCCCATTTTTGTAGGGTGCATATCCATAGACATAGGAAGTATTCAGTCTAGCCTTTCCAAGACAATTCATTGACACTGATCAAGCTAATTTTTTGAACAGATGATGTTCACAAAAGTTGGGGGCACTACTTTATACTTCTATCCAAATACATCCAGAAAGAGGTTCTCGACTGAGCTAATTACCAAGGAGGAAGGGGCGATAAAAGAAAACCAAGTCTAATATTACTTCTTTTTAATTGTTTAACTTTATTACTGTTGCACCATTTATACAATTACATATAATTTCAATGCATCCATTGTACTTTTTTTTTATTTTTATTTTCCATTTTCCAATGAGTGGTGTGTTGGTGTCTGAGACACAGAATGGGAGAGAAACTGGAACTGCAATGAACGCAGACTTTTTTTTTTTTCATTTCCACTGACCAATAAACAGAACTACAGGTGCACCCAACCACGGACATGCATTAACTCGTCATGAGAAATCTAGGGAGGCTAAGGAGGGCGAGAGAATGTTTGTTACTCCCAAAAATACCTGGGAAGGTAAGAATGGAATATTGGTACCGAGATACCTGTGGACAGGCTAAGTGGGCTGTCTGAAAGTTGGCATTCATCCACATTAAAAAAATATCAAAATAAGAAAGGCTGTAAATTAAAAGAAGACACAGAAAATACTGCTCTCATAGGGATCTGATTGCCTTGGCACAGGCCCTGTGGGCAGAATCAAACGCATCACTTCCGACTCCCCCTTGCAGAAGACAGGACACCCGGGTCTGAGCGGCGGAGTGCATGGAACAGCAGTTCGGGTACGGAAGATGTACTGTACTTTCAGACATTGACCTCTAAACTCCAGGACTGATTGGTAAAGTTGACTGAAGGTATATTAGATATTTCCCCACAAAAATACTATTTGGATTCTCCCCACCCCCTCCCTCCCTCCCTCGATGGGACATCCTTTTTTTCTTTCCTTGGGCAATACATATCATGACTTCCAATTTGAAACAAGTTAGTATAGGAGAGAGAGAGACAGAGAGACAGAGAGACAGGCTGTGAGCGCATCTTTTCCACTGCTGTCCTTGCTACTCCTTCACGGCCACGGTTTGCTCGGCGGCCGGGACCTCGGCGGCTTTGACCTCGTCTACGGGGGCTGCAGGGGCCGCGGCCTTGGCCGTGGAACTGGGGGCTTCCGTGGCGGCCGGGGGCTCCTTGCAGGACGGGGCCGCCTCGGCACTGCTGGGTTTTGAGTCTGACGCCGGGGCCCCGTCACCCGTCGTCTCCGGCGCGGCCGCGGCGGCGGCGGCGGCGGCGGCGGCGGCGGCGGGGGCCTCAGTCTTTGTGGGTTCCCCGCCCTCCTTGCCCTCGTCGTCGGCCTTGGGCGCAGGGGGCGCCTCGGACTCTGCAGCCTTGGGGGCGTCGCCCACAGCCGGCTCGGGGGCCGCGGCCTGCGGGGGCTCCGGCTTGGTGTCAGCGGCGCCCTCCGTGGGCTCGGGCTCCGCCTTCGGGGCCTCTTCCTTGGCCGCGGCCGCGTCCTTCTCGCCCTCCTTGTCTTCGGGCTTGTTGGCCGCGTCCTGGGCGTCCTTCGCAGGCTTCTCCTCCTTGCCATCCTTCACCTCGGTGGGCTCCGCGGCCGCCTGGGTCTCGTTCTCCTTCGGGGTTCCCTCCTCTTCCGTGCCGGCGCCCTCGGCCTTCTTGTCTTTGTCCTTGGCCTTCTCATCGTTCACATTGTAGCCCTTCTTCTTCTTGCTCAGCTTGCCTCCCATCTTGGAGTTCTGCAACAACACAACACAGCACAAGGAGGGTTACTTGGGGCTCTGGAGGGCATGTCTCGTGTGCCCCCAAACAGCCAGGCTGAGATCCTAACCCCACAGTGTGATGGCATTTGGGGTGGGGCCCTCCGGGACTGGGTCAGCGCGCTCTATGAGACCCCACAGAGCAAGCTGGTCCCCATCCCCGTGTGGGGGCACAGGGACAAGTCAGCCCTCCACCAGTCAGGCAGCAGGTCCTCACCACACCCCAGACCTGCCTACACCTGGATCTGCACCTTCCCAGCAGTCAGAACCGGCAAAAATAAATGTGTGTTACTTAGAAGCCACTCATTCATTCTCTGGTAATTTGTTACAGCAGCCCAAATAAAGGAGACACTTGTCAAGAAAGAAAACCGAAAAAGGCTTCTGTTTTACAAAGTAACGAGTTCAGAACACTATTTACTGTAAACTTTCAAATGGATAACAGGGTAAACTTTATGTACGTGTATTTTGTCACAATGAAAATAAAAAAATAAACTGAATTAGTTAAAAAGTAAAGAGCTCTGTTAAAATTGCAGCAAGTCAAATAATGAGCTGGGATCAAAGACTCACTGATTAGACTAAGCTTGTCGGTCATGAAGGGAAATGGAGCAGTATTTGCTTCTTATCTGCTCTGGGGTCCAATCCAAACACCAAGAACTGAACACTTGTGGACAAATGGCAGCCATCTTAGATTAATAGTACAGCTACTAAAAGGCTTTGTCATTTCAAAATACTCGCCAGAGAAATGTTACAACTGTAATAAAGCACAAATCACAGATTTCTAGAAAAAGAATCTCCAAACTCCGTTCAAACTCCGTTATTCATACTATGTTCACATAAGCACACATGTCTTCAAAGACCAAAGGCAAATAGGAGTTAGTCCATCTTGTTATTAAGTAGGACCAGTTGAAGGAAAATCATTGCCTAAGAAATGAAAAGCAGAGTCTCTAGTTTAGTTACTTAGATCTGTCAAACTTGTATTTACTGCTCTTCAAGGTGTTTTTGGCTCACAAGAAATAGCTTCAAAGTAACACCAAGTTTCCCTCCTCATTACCAATTTTCTGATCAGAATTCAAACTAGATGTGCCCCTTCAGTGGTCATTCACACAGCCTTTGTCATTCAAAGTCTCCAACTTCCGGGATGCTGATACTCTGGATCTGGCATTAGAGACTGTGACTGTATTTGAATCTTGAATTTTTCTCCTCTGGTACCAAGGCATTCATTCAAATAAATTATAAATTATAAATTTATAAATAATAAGTTCAGTCCAGAACCACTGCCAGAATTAAATAGGCACTGCATTGTTTTTTTCTTCAGATGCATTGTTAAGGCATCATGTATCAGTTACAACCCACTGAAACGTTACTCTTTACATAAAAAATCAGTTGCTGTCCTTGATGAAGCATGGAAGAATCACATGTCAATAATCTCTTTAGTCCCCACAAAGAAGTAAAGTTCAGTAAGAGAGAGAGCCTTGCCCTGGACCCAGCGGAAGTTATAAAGCACAGGTTGAGACCACCTGACCTGGATCCATTCTAAGGTTAGGGCAACCTTGGAAGAATTATGAAGTACTCTTCAACCAGTCATCTTTTTTTTTTTAAGTATCATACATTCAGAATATAAAATTTACACTCCTTGGAATCATGATTCATGACAGTGAAGTCATCTACATTCTATCTTATTTAAAAGCCAGGTGTTGGGTAGGACAGTGCTAATCTTCAATCAAAATCTGTCTCACCACTCTGTATGTTAATTTCCTATCTCGAATGCTTTTAAATCGTTGGGGGGAAGAGAAAGGCAATCAATTGACTGAAAGATGACTAAAACACTGTTCTATTCTCAAGGAAGACCTATTATGTTATCAAAGAAAGAATTTCTCTTACATATCACATCTAAAAACAGAGTGGCTTTTGGTCATAACCCACTTTAGACATCCAATAGGCTCTACTTGACTTAATTTTCGGTTATTGTTCCCTCAGAAGTGGTAGCAAACATATACAATACAAATACAATTAAATGTACTTTAATCCTATAAGCAATCAACAAAGCAATCAATGAAAATATAAAGATATAAACTGGACCAGTAATTTTTTTGATATCATTAATATAAAATCAAATGGACATTGTGGTTACTAGATTCCCCCCATTATCAAGTCCCCACCACATTCCCCATTACAGTCATTGTCCATCAGCATAGTAAGATGCTATATAGAGTCACTATTTGTCTTCTCTGTGCTATACTGCCTTCCCCATGCCCCCCTGCCCCCTGTGCTAATCGTAATGCCCCTTGTGCCCCTTCTCCCTCCCTTCCCACCCACCCTCTCTAGTCCCTTTCCCTTTGGTAACTGTTAGTCCATTCTTGGGTTCTATGGGTCTGCTGCTGTTCTGTTCCTTTAGTTTTTGCTTTGTTCTTATGCTCCACAGATGAGGGAAATCATTTGGTACTTGCCTTTCTCCACCCGACTTATTTCACTGAGCATAATACCCTCTAGCTCCATCCATGTTGTTGCAAATGGTAGGATTTATTTTCTTCTTATGGCTGAATAATATTCCATTGTGTATATGTACTACATCTTCTTTATCCATTCATCTACTGATGGACACTTAGGTTGCTTCCATATCTTGGCTATTGTAAAGAGTGCTGCAGTAAACATAGGGGTGCATATGTCTTTTTCAACTGGGCTCCTGCATTCTTAGGGTAAATTCCTAGGAGTGGAATTCCTGGGTCAAATGTTATTTCTATTTTTGGAACGGTATTTTAAATTGTAGTTTGTAACTCTTTCATTGAATTTTTAATTAGCCATATGCATGAATAGTGTATGTCCAAATAACTTCAGCTTTGATATTTCAAGATATACTTTGTGTTCATTAGGTTAAAGCTGAGAGAAAAAAACCTGACACACCTGCCTTAGGATCTTCTCCAGTTTTGTAATAGGAACCCATACACTAACTTAGGACATAACAGAAGGCAAAGTGTAAATGTAGTGGGCACTTGTGAAATAATATAGGAAAGCAAGTCACTTTCTGATATGCACAGCATGAAATTCTATATAGCTATCCCCAAAGGCTTAAAGTCCTGTTGGTTTACAAACCTAAAACCTACATTACTAAAATTGGTTTTCTGAGCACAGTTAGCGGGGCCACTTTCTACTCTGTTTTAAGCTCAGCTGAGATCCACTTCTGGATACAAAATGAATGCCTATGCAATCTAGCTGTATATAAGAAGGTCTGTCTCCATTCCTGTCTGTACTTCCAACACAAAGTTAATAAACACCCCTACTTTTTGTTAATTTTCTTACATTAGTTATATAGTGAAGCATCAGAGGAAGGCTTAGTGAATCCACTACAAATCTGGAAAGGCAAGGTAGTCTGGTCATTTCCCAAGATGAAATGGGTGAAAACCTTGCCTATACCCAGACATTTATTAAAATTGCAATTTAAAATATAGTGTTTCCTGGGTGTCGGGCACAATCCTAATCCTAAACATAGAAGTTATTTTATTTCATCTTCTCAATAGTCTCATGAGCTAGTAAGCATTCCAGTAGCATTGTCCTTTCACCCATATGGAAATTCTAAATAGTTGAGTCCGTGGAGCAGTACTAGAAGCAAAAGGCCAAGTCCAACAAAATGAGATAAGGCAGGAAAGCACAATCTTGGATGGAGGTCTACCAGAACTCCACTAAGAAGCTGGCAACTGGACACAGCTCTCAACTCCGGAATGCGACCCGCCCCAGGCCAACCTCCACCGCTGGTCACAAGAAAGGTTGGAGCAGATCTGTGGTGAATCAGAACTCAAGATGTTGACAAGATAATGAAGAAATTCAGAAATTAGGTTTCCGCCCCTAAACGACTCTTTGCCCCATTTGCCAGCGTAGTATCAAGATCATTAAGAAGTAAGGAGAATAGGGGGCATATATTTTAATTATTTCTCTTATTTCTATTACTTCTGATTTGAAAGAAATCAGTTGGGATAGGAGTCGCAAGTTGGAACTTCTAAGTTAAAAAAAAAAAAGAACACATCAACTAGTAATCCACCCTGGAAGCCACTTAAACCTAAATCTAAACTGCTGTAGAAGAGCTAAGACTTCCTTTGCATTTGTCCACATTTGGGACACTCAGGACACTCACTAACCTTTGAGAGGATCGGTAAGGCGGCTCAGGCCAATGCTGATGCAATGAAGTAAACTCTGTGCTGATAAAAGGACCAGACACTCAAGTTGATCCATTAGTCACAACATCTCAAAGGAAGGCAACCTCGGGAGTTGTCCATTAAAATTAGAAGAGATTTCTATGGTCACAAGGGCCAAAACTGTAGACCTATGGCTTCAAATTAACATAGAAAATAACAGTCAACAGCAACAGAGAGAGGAACTTCACTGTGTTTCATCTGGAAAACACTGGACAATTATTTCATGGAGTCTTTGCACACTGCGTCATCACAGACTCATACGATGTTGATACAAACCCCGTACCTACAATATACGTGCCCTGAATCCTTGCGCAAGTTACTTAACTTCATTTTCCTTTCATTTCCTGCATAATAAGAAATTCAAACTTAGGAAAAATTAATGTGAGGCTTCAGTAACATTTGACATTTCATGGGCCTGCAATAAATGTTAGTTTCTTTCCGCATCATTTAACTTTGCCATTCTTAGATAATTCTATGCTTGTAAACCCCAATAGAATAACAGAGCAGTTTCCACACACAAGTTTTAGAATCGAACATTAGAAGCATTGTAATTAGAAGTATTTTAAAAATATTTTAAAGTGCCATCAAGAAGAATTTTGGTATGTTAAGTTCCAAGCATGCTCTTCCTGACCAGGAAAATGTGGAAAAGAAGTTCATTCAGTTATTATTTGTCACCATGCTGTCTCCATACTGCCGATACTAAAATAAGTCTATGTCTTTGATTTGAATGTTTTATGTACATAAGACTCTCAAGAAGTTATGAGTCTAAATATATTTAACAGTCTATTATAC